ATCATTCAGTGCCTTATGTACTAAGTCATGTTGAGGGGGTTGCAATATACAGTCAAATGGGTCTACGTTTGACTTTTGCTCAGGGCCCAAATTTATAAAAAAAATGGTCCTGTCCATTGTGGAGCATCCCCTCACATTCTGTTCTGGTGACTAAACAGGAAACCTCTTCAAACTTGCAGAACCTGACTGTTCTCCACCCTGTCCTAAACATCTTTTACTTGGACTTTAAAGTGAAGAAATATAGCTTTCACTTACCACACAAACTTATTTAAAGAGATCCTGTTAGATAAGAAAATGTTTGAGAAACGCATTTACTTGTAAATAATATAGAAAACCCTTACCTCTGCTGCCCATGCCACTAAACTCCATTACTGAGAATTTTTTACCCAAATTCTGCTGGGAAGCCAATACTTCAGGAAATGTCCATATCCTGGGTTACAGCTCTCTTGGTTTCTCCGGCTGACCTCCATGCCATTACAGGACTCAGCAGTAGCATGGAGAGAAAGGGCCTTGTTAAGTTGTGGTGCTTACTGTGTGTGACAAAGTAAACAACATCAACATAAATAATCCATTTCTAAATTATAATCACACGTCAATCCACATATATGAATGCAGTCTGTGAAAGGTGCCAGTCCAAAAAATGAACTACTGTTCCTGACCTGGGACCTTTACTGAGACACCTATACAGGTCCCCAGTGAAGGGGAAAAGTGTCCTTCTTATGACTTATTTCTAGTGAGACTGGCTTCAAATGTCTTGGATAGCACACACAACTTAGTGCAAGAGATGTTTTAAAAAATGTGAAAGATTAGTAAAGCAAGACAATGTTCTGTTAGGACTTGTGTAGATGGACAAATGCAGCAGGCCTTCAGCTTGACTGTAACTCTTCTGTGTTTATTAACAGTTGTTTCTGGTCTGGATTTGACCTCCTTCGGGCCTGGATTTGGCTGTTCTTGATTTCTGATTGTATGGGAAGAAAATCAGCTCTGACTCAAACTAAAGCCCTTGTATACAAGTCAATAGAGAGGTGTTGCCCTGGGTGCCAATGTTTGTATAGCTTCAGACCACAGTGATAGAAATCCAGCCATTAAAATTATTATTATTATTTCACACTTATAACAAATTTATGGTCAAGGGAATATAAACCCTAACAATGAACTTTTCTTATGTGGTCTGTCTTAACCACTTGACCTCTGGAAGTTTTATTGCATTTTTTACGATATGGCACTGCGTTATTTTAACTGACAATTGAGCAGCCATGCGATACTATACCCAAATAAAATTTATGTCATTCATTTCCCAAAAACAGAGCTTTCTTTTGGTGGTATTTTGTCAGCACTGCGTTTTTTTTCATTTTTGGTGCTTTTTTAAACAAAAAAAAGACCAACAATTTTGAAAAAAAAAAATATTTTTTACTTTCTGCTATAAAACTAATCTAATAAAAAAAAAAATCTAAAAAAATCTAATTTCTTTATAAACTTAGGCCAATATGAATTCTGCTACATATTTTTGGTAAAAAAAAACCCCAATAAGCGTATATTGATTGGTTTTGAATGCGTATTTCATTTTTTAACTTTTACAATTGGCCTGACTTAAATACAGCAGCAGCACATCAGTCTCATTTATTTTATTTAAAATAAAAAGATTTGATAGGTAATTTTGGTTGTGATGTGATTTTTTTTAATCTAGTGGTAATAGGCTTAAGCTGAACTGTGGAAGGAGCATTCATAACAGACCTAAAAGCTATAAGAAAATGTATTCCTAAAATAAATAAAACTAAAGCCCTTAACATTGCACAAACTGGCCAGTGGCACTAAAGTTTGATTAAAAATAATAATAAATATATTATATTATTATTATTATTATATATGTATATATCCCCTCGCATTCCCATATAACCAATTATTTCCAAAATATAATTTTTTTATTTGTGTTTTTATGCTTTTTTATTTTTAAATGTATCTTTTTTGATATTTTATTCTATCTTTTTGGTATTGAATAAGTGGTTGGACTGCACATAGCAGAGGCCAGGCACATCTTTAATTCCTCTGCTTTGACTGTATAATCATCGTTCTTCTCCCAGACACTCAGCAGCTAGTTGTATTTTTTGATTTATGTAATTTATTTCTTTATAGTCAGGGAAATGGAGAGATAACCATAGGCTGCCCATCCTTCTACAATGCAGAGGCAAAGGCAGACAGAAAATGGAGGGAAGGAAATCCTATGACCAGGAGGAAGGTCAGGCAGCTGCAACATATAAACAAAAAAACCTATGACCATAGTAAAACATCACAGACAAGTCTAAAAGGAGAGGTAGAATTGCTGCCACGGGTAGATATGTGGTGCTGCTGCAGTAGGTGGCTAACCCTACTAATGTGACCTATTCCCCTTCCTCCTCCCTCCAGTAGTCCTCATCCCTTCTCTCTTCCTCTTACCCTTCCTCCTTATCTACCTCCCCTACCTCTACGTATTCTTTCCTACCTTTTTTAATGTGATAATGGCATAAGTAGAGGCTCTTGGGAGCTGGGTTTATATCTCACCCCATCAGTGGCTCATTGTGCAGGCAGTAGTGAAATGGTTGACAAAGCCTTTCTTCTCTTGGTCCCTTTCAGGTGCAGAGTAGACACTTGCTAGTAAGTGCTGCTAGTTTGCCCGTTTCCTATTCTTCCTCTATTGCTTAAAGTCGCAGAGCAACCATCTGTCTGCAAGTGCTGCTCATACATCAATTTCCTCCTCCTATTACTGTACTCTCAAGGGTGCAGAGCATCCAATCACCTGCAACTGGCGCTACTGCCTGCATTCCTTATACGCCTCTATTCCTCAAGTGCATAAAGTAGGCACTTGCAGGCAAATGCTTGCTCTATGCCCTTAAGGAGTAGAGAAGGAGTAGGAAGAAAAGGGCCCTTTAGCAGCACTTGCATGCAAGTGCCTACTTTATGCACACCTGAGCTTTTTGTAGCGTGAAGCTCGAAACTTCAATACGCTCAGGGAGGAAAAAAATCAATGTTACACATCTCCACTTCAAGTCGCCTGAAGCAGAATGGATGAAACTCAAAAAAGGTTTTGTAGCTACTTTTGTAGCTCCATTCAGGCAGATTGATGCATTTTTGGCACATTTCTATTCCCATAGAATGACATGGAAACATGCAAGTGATGTCACAGATTATATTTTTCTCTGTTGGCTAATATAAAAACACCAGAACTTTAAAAAGCCTGAAAATGCCTGAATAAGTCACGTACAAACATTTCCAATAGTGCATAAAAATGCGCAACAAAACAAGCAAAAAAAATGCTCAGATGTGAATGCATTCTTTTCCTCTTCCACCTCTACTCCTAACCAATCCCACCAATCATCACTAATATTTGTTTTCTTAAACATAATTTACATATTTACTTTTTAAATTATTAATTAATTTATTTATATACAACTTTTTAATTCCTATTATTCCTTGCAACACCATCCCTGCCCTGGTCAAGCAAACATAGACAGGGACAGCAATGCAAACTGTGCATTATTCTTAGGCGAGGAGGAAGTCCAACCAGCATGTACCTATGCATTAATATAAAGGGGTTCCTTGCAAGATAAGGCTGCCAACTCAGACACTCACCTTGAAGAGGTGATGGCTACAAGGAATATATATGACCTTGTAGATGAGATTAGAAAGAAGAATATCTCTAATGGATTCTAAATGCTGTTTCTGAAGTGCACTGAGAACCATGTTAGGTCTAAATCATGGAGTGAAAGGTGAAAGAGTGAAACAAGACAGAAAGGGCAGAAACCTCAAATTTATTAGTGCGAAGAGCCAAATGTTGGTCAAAATACATCCATTTTTTCATCCACCATCCAGTTCTTTTTTAAACATTATTTACATTTTTTTTTTCATTTTTAAATTGTTCACATTTTTTATTTTTATCTAATAAGACCATCCCTGCCCTGATCAAGGAAACACAAGCAGGGAAGGCAATACAAACTGGGTATTTTTCCTAGGCAAGAAGAAAGTCCTAGGCCTCATCAACACCATATCCCTATGCAAAAAAGAGGTATGAGAATGAGAGCCTGGTCAAGACAGAAAGTGCAGAAACCTGACTTTTCCAAACCCAGGCATTTTTTTCACCACCATCAGTATTTTTTAATGTTTTTTAACATTATTTAAAGATTTGCATTTTTAGCACTTTCATGTATATCTTTTTTTTTTGTTATTTCCTGGTAAAGCTGACCCTGCCCTGTTCAAGCAAACAGCGGCAGGTTAGGCAAGGCTGTAACTGAAACTCTTACAATGGATTACTAGGTGGTAAGATGGTATCATTTACTGGAAGTGGCCCTATGCGTTTGAGGTGCTAGCTTGCTCTGCTGTCAGAGAGGGCCATCAGCTGCAATATATTTAATATATGTTAACCAGAAACAGATCAAATGGGAATATAGGAATGTGGGGGGGGGGGGGGGGGGGTGGGCCTGGGGTTTGCAGTGCACCTGTCGGTGAGGGTGTTTTTAATTTTGTCTCTTAAAGGGTGCTAAAAAAGGCAGCAGAGATGGCAACAACTGCCTGATGAGTTTGAGTCACCCCAAACTAAAACTTATAATCTAAAAAAGATTACGGGAAAGAGTTCCATTTAATAGAAAACAAGCAGCAAGAGTGTTCATAATTGAAAAGCTAGCTATCAGTCAGTTGTTGTAGACATATTTTGGTACTTAAAGCAGTGTTCCACTCGACCTATCAAAAAATAAAAGTCAGCAGCTACAAAAACTGTAGCTGCTGACTTTTAAAAAACAGCAACTTACCTGTCCCTCGGTCCTGTGGTGTGTCCCCCGCAGTTCGTTTCACCGGTCGTCCTGTATTCCAGGAGGCCGGCATCTTCAGTGTGGGCACCCAGCTGTGACAGCTTGCGGCTTCACAGCCGGGTACCCACTGTGCATGTGCGAGTAGAGCTGCGCCTCCTAAATGGTCCTGCAGTCTTCTGGGACCTGTCACGTGTCCCAAAAGACTACAGGGAGTGAGGAGACCTTCCGCTTCCGATCGCCTAGGCGGTCAGACCGGAAGTGGGAGCGGGTACCTGTCAAATTCGGGTACCTGCTCCTCCCCGCCCCCGCTCCCCAAAGGTGCCAATCCTTAATGGGAAGCAGGAGAGCAGTCCTTAAAGCGGAACTTCCCCTTTTGGGTGGAACTCCGCTTTAAAAAGGATTTTTGGGTATGTAGAACTGTGCCTACAGGCAGGGAACATTAGAAAATCTACTCCAACACATCATTTCAAAGAACTAATGCATAGTTTGATAAAATTTGTGTAAACCCCACCACTAAAATCTAATATATGCTTTAACGTGATAATATCACTGGAAGAGTCTATTTTAATAGCTAACTTTGAAGAAAATAGCAGTTTATGATACGGATTTAAAAGTCCTTGTTTGTGCACCTTGTGTTATGGGCTGACAACGCTTTGCCCCTATCTCCCAAAGGAAACTATAAGCTTCTGTACTGATGCACATTGCACAGGCATATTCCACTATTGTCACTACTGATGGGCTGTACTCGTACATTGTCCGTTTGTGTGTTTGGCGAATATAGAATGTCAAGGGCGTTCGGCGGGCTATTCACCTGCCACGCACCACAATGTACTGCACCCTAACAGTACATTGTGATTGACCAACACAATGCACCTGAAAGCAGGTCTGGAGCAATGCTTTGGCCACTCACAGTGCATGATGATGTCACAAGAGGGCGGGGGTGACCCCTCCCGCTTGTGACATCATCACACAATTTAAAAAATATCACCCTGGCGCACCTGTCAGACGGAGCAAGCCAGTGTCAACTGCTTTTTTTTTGGCGGTGGAGGCAGGCATCGTGATTGACATTGGGTCTACTTCGGGGGACAACTTTCTAATTTTTTTTTAATAAAGGACTTGTCAAAGTCTCCTGTCATTTTTCCACTACACTTTTATTTTGTGAATGGGTAGCAGTACCATGTACCCCATACTCATTCACATAGGGGGGTGGATCTAGGGGCCCCCTTGTTAAAGGAGGCTTCCAGATTCTGATAAGCCCCTCGCCCGCAGACCCCCATAACTACTGGCCACGATTGTGGGGATTCCACTTCTTAATAGGTGATTTAACAGTACTGATTGGCATAATCAAGGCTTTGGACATCTTTTTATGTTCTTTTCCATCTTTATAAAGTTCCATTACCTTGTTACGCAGGACTTTTGACAGTTCTTTTCTGATCCCCATGGCTCAGTATCTAGCCTAGTCAGTGCTGCCACATAAGAGCTAACAAACTCATTGACTATTTATACACTGACACTAATTGCAATTTAAAAAGCAACAGATGTTGGACATTAACCTCTAATTGACATTTTAACCCGTGTGTGTCACCTTGTGTGTCTGTACCAAGGCAAAACATTCCAGGGTATGCAAACTTTTGATCATGGCCATTTGGGTGATTTCTGTTATCATTATGATTTAAAAAGGAGCCAAACAACTATTTGATAATAAATGGCTTCATATGATCATCATCCTTCAATAAAAGAGCATTTTTTGGCATGATCAGTCATATTTTCAATATCAATGCCAAAATTTCACAATTTCTGCCAGGGTATGCAAATTTCTAACCACAACTGTACTTGGCACCCAAAAAGTCTTGGTAACTGCTTCAGGACTCATCTATATGTTTACAAAGGATCTGGCACCTGGGTGACCTCTCACCCATCTATTTTGTTGATTTCGATATCTATCAAATATTGCAGGCAGGGAAGGCTCTTGTGTCACCCAGGCCAATGACTGACATGTCTATTCCCCAAGCTTCTTTTTTGCAATCCATTTGTTTTAATTACAATATGATTTATTCTATGATTTATAATATGAATTTATTCTGCCTACAAGTAAAATTAATTGTTTTGTAAGTTCTTTCAAATAAAAAAATAAGAATAATAAACACATTGTAATCCTATTTTATTATACTTTTTTTGAGTAATCCATGCAAAAGTGAAAAGTGTCACAAGAAGCAACTGCAATGAGGTAACTACAGTGGTGGAAGTTAAAGAAACACTGAAATCATCAACGACAATTCCAAGGTCCCAGGTTCCTCTTATTACCAACTCTTCCTGTCAGTGTCCACAGCTATTCCCTAATCAGGATGTACTCATCATGTGTTACCAGTGGCGTTCAAGGTAAGTAGGTAGTTTAGGTTATTAACCCTTTCGCAACTGAAACACATTTTTAAATTTTTTTGCATACATGTTATCATTTACATTTCTGGCTAGAGAATTTCCCTGAAAATACATATCTTTTAAAAACAGAGATCATGTGGAATTAATAATTGTTTTATGTTTCTTGATATTTACACAACTGCTCATCAAATTTTTTTTTTTATAGTAAAAAATACAATAAAAGTAAGTTTCGTGTTCACGAACACAGTATAATCCCCAGTATTCCCATTTTTAATACAAAACAAAAGATGAGATTGTGTCACATAATTTGTGGTAGAGCCTGACGTGCAGAGGGAGGGCTCTCTTACAGCCCCAGCTCAAGGAACACTGATGTTGCAACAGTGGCCGCTAGAGTATGGCAAGATATGAGTGACTGTAAGATGTTCTGCTGACGAACAGTAGGTGCGTCACCAGAGATGGGTCAGGTAGCTGGAACAGCAGATGATAGCAGAAACAGCAGACCCGGAACTGGGCGGACAGTAAGTGGCAGTTGCTTGTCAGACCACTGGCTGGTTGTAGATGCAATAGGGCTGGCAGCACACAGCAGATGAAGGACCAGCAGGAACTAGATAGCATGCAGAGGAAAACAGATGGACAACTGGAAGAGTGGTCAGGTGAGTCAGGTCAGCAACAAATGGTCAGATACAGGCATGAATGGCAGACAGAGAATGGTCAGGATACAGGAAAAGGTCAACTACACTGTAGCAAGCAGATTAGCAGGAGGAAGAGCGGAGTCCAGAGACAAGCCAAGGTCAGGGCAGGTAGCGTTCAAGAGTGGCCAGGACAAACCGGGTCAATCACAGAAGTCAAACACGGGAACAGATGCAGGAACACAGGTAATAGCTATAGATCAGACAGCACTGGCTAATACAATTTCTTCAGTTTAAATTGTCCCATTGGCGCCAATGTTAGCCGTGGGACAATTCAGTCTATGCACAGCAAGGCGAACAGCTGTAGATCTGTGCCTGCGCATATGTATGCGCCTTGAGCCTTTACTTGCACTATAGCTGGTACTTCCCTGACAGATTGTTGTGAGTAAATAATGACCAAATATGTCAAGAGTCCAAAAGGTGTGCATCCTTGAAATGGTCAAAAATTAAGGCACTCAAAATATCAGTAGGCAACAATTTAAAAGCCTTTACAGCCTATTAGTTTAGAGTGAACTGTAAAAATGTGTGGCTGCATTTATGTGAGTGTGTGCACAGTGTGGCAAGGATGCTTTTCATTTTTTTAAATTTTTCTTTATTATTGTATTTTCATTTTTTGAAGACTTTTTAATTGTATTTTTCAGTTAACTTTATTGCTATAACAAGGGAGCTAAAAAGGCTTCTGTGATAGCACTGGACAGGTGAGAAGCACTCTTTATGGAGACATTAGTGTTCTATCAGACCTCTGATGTCTCGCCTGCCCTTGCTCTAGCTGATCAAATACTTGCTCATCCACTGGTTAACTGGCTTTGCAATCAGGACTTGTTCTGAAGAGGACATAGTCACCTACAGTCACCCAGTTCATATTTGATCTGCTGGAAAAAAAACTGAAACAAGCTCACAGCTTCAAACCAGGATGTATTGGGCATATACATCCATATTCTGTAATATGTTACAAGCCTAATTTAATTTTCATGAAGATTGTCTTTATATTGATGCATGCAATTTGCAAAACAGTGCAACAATTCTGAGTCGTACATGGTGCCTTCATTAAAAGTCAGCAGCTACAAATGCTGTAGCTGCTGACTTCTGAATAAAGGACACTTATCTGTCTAGGGATCCAGAGCTTTCCTCACTGAAGTCAGTTCTTCACCTGCCTTTGGGTCCCTGACTTTTTTACTGTGGGAATCCAGCTGTGACTCCTTGCGCTGCACTTTGTGAATGGTCCTGCAGCCTCCTGGGGCCTGTAACGTGTTCCAAACGTCTGGTGCAAAGAAGGGGGGGGGGGCAAACTTCCGCTCAGGTTGCCTAGGTGATAGGAACAAATATCTATCAAAACTAGATACCCTCCCCCGCAAAAAAAATATAATGTGCCAAATGTGGTAGAGAAGTGGGGGAGGAGTACATAAAGCAGAACTTCCCCTTTTGGGTGAAGTTCCACTTTAAGGGCATGTTCACACTGTTGATGTGTGCAAACATGCGTTACTGAAAAGCACAAAAATGTGAATTTTGCATTTTACTGTGTTGAAGTGCCATTCATTCTCAATGCCACCCAATGCAACTTATCAACACACCTACATTGTGGTGTGCTATGTTACAGAAAATAATGCATGTGCCTTATTTGGTGTGTTAGATCAGGCCTCAAAATTTTCACTCTCTTGCTCGCATTTGGCAAATGGAAATAAATACAAGGCTAGTGTGTCCCATCGGAGGCAGATACTTGGTGTAGATTAGCAGAGCAAGGGCTTAACTGGCTCGCCATTGGCCACAACGCTCAGGCTGGGGGCAAGGACGGCCTGCTGCTGTCATCAAAAGGAAATGGACGGCCGGAGGTCGGTTCTGGGACTTCCGGGGAGGGAGGATGAGGTGAGGATCAGAGACCAGGCACTGCAAGTCCAGGACACCTGTGATCAATGCGGGCAACCATGTTTGCCTATATATATAGAAAAAAGAAAGTTGGATTGCAGCATATAAAAAACTTTTATTCTTGAAAAATCACCATAAAAAAGGGTGATCCAAAAAAATGGACAAACCCATACATCATAGTGTTCAACAAGGTGATGTGATAGACAGACACAAAGTGGAACATAATTGTGAAGTGGAAGGGAAATTATAAATGGTTTTTAAAATATTTTGCAAATACAGATCTGAAAAGTGTGGCGTGCATTTGTAGTTGGTCCCCTTTATTCTGATGCCCCTAACTAAAATCTATTAGAACCAATTGCCTTCAGAAATCGCCTAATTAGTAAATAGAGTCCACCTGTGTGTAATTTATTCTCAGTATAAATACAG